ATCTCTAGTCAAGTTGTAGAGACATTTCCAGTTTCACCTTTAATAGAGTCTCCACAGCCTAAGAAGCACCAGCCAAATGCATTGGAGACAGCAACAAGAGACAGCCGCTTTGAAGGGAGCTTTCCATACCAGCTTTCCAATGTTAAGCTCCGATCCTTAATGAGGGTGAAGCAGAAATCCTGAAAATAAAAAATAAAGATGGCAAGCCCATGCCATCATTTTGATCAATGGCATTGCAGTCATAGAGCACAATATAGCTTATGAGAATCATGACAAGTATGCCTTTACAAAGCCCCAGTGAACTAAACCTGTTTATTTCATTATAACTGCCAATGCAATTTAATTATGAATCAGTAGCCACAAGCAATAAAGCACTATTGTTGCTCCTCTCTCAACCTAATATTAAGATTGTTAAAATTCACATATTTTTGAAATGATAAGGTCCATGAAACCAACTGGAGCCATCAGGTAAACTTCTCAAATTTTAGTTTGACACCAGTTTAGATAACACTAACACCCCTTTATTACTCTTTGCATGTGGAAAATGTCAACCTATACTATGTGAACAAGATTACACCCAATTACCTGTACCCTTCAGTATAGCTATGTCTGCAGGAAGACTTCATGTGGATCTGTATAAATACCTCACCAGGCATCATTATCTTTCCTCTCAAGTATAATAAGCATCGCTATCCCTTTCTTTTTCCGCCTGCGACATTAATTATAATTTCACTTTTACCGTATATCTTACACAGTTGAAAATGACCTTTGAGACACTCTCATTTAAATTACTGCAACATTTTTGACGCAATATTAGAGAAAACGCTAGTCTTCTGCAAATATCAAACCATGGGATTTACTAGTCTCACGCGAGATAGAGACTAGAGTGAATTAAAGAAAAGAATGGGCCTAGAGAGAAAACTCACAGATGTTTCCTTAGACGGAAACTCAGCTGACATTTTTTTTCGCACGCCAGTAAAGGCTCAAACGGGTTGAAGGAGATCTCAAAATGAAACGGGCTCAGTCATCTACAGCGCCATAGCACGTTCTCTCGGAAGGCGCTGCGCCATCGTCCACGATGAATATGGCAGCTCACAGGTGTCACGTGGAGTTGTTATTCATGGCCTTGGCTAAGCATAGGGCTATAAATTATTTAATGCTTAGCCACCGTAGATACAGTTCATGTGGCAATCCGAAAGCAGAGTTGAAGTGAGGTCTGCACCCGTTCCTCTCCCCTGAGAAGCAAGCTAACGTTTACATAAGCATTTTGCACTATCCCGAACCATAATTAACTTATTTCGCGCGGGCTCAAGCGGCGACCCTAAAGCAATTCTGGGGAAATTTGACTAATAGAAAACCAACTTAAACGTATTCATTCGGTATCTTGAAGGAAGAGTAAGAAAGCCAGCTTAGTTTTTGGATTGATGGGCCAATTAGCTCGGAAAACAGCCATGACATTTTTCTGTCCTAACTGACCCATGAGTTTCCAAATTTTAGGTTGGTTTCTTCACTCTCTGAACATTGACAGAATGAGTGTAAAATAATCCGCCACTGCTATTCCTTCCTTGATATGTTCCAGCTCTTCCCTGTCCAAATTTAGTTTCTGATATGCTTAAGGATTGCCTTCAATCTTATTTGCACATTTTTGGATATGTTAGGTTGTATGGCCTTTAGACTTATTATCTTAGGTGCAGCAACAGAGGGTGGCTGACCCCCATCTTTCACAGTTAAGAGAAAAAGGTTAGTTTTGCCTGAGAGTTGATTGTTTCCCTGTTTTCATTAGAATGGACAGTTCCTGAAGAAAAATAAGTTCTTTGGCTCACTTAATGTTGGTTATCACCATCCCCTCCCCTCCACTTGTCAACCAGACCATACCGACAACTGAACAAAGGGAAATTAAAATGTTTTCTAAATTAGCTTCAGCATCAGAGTCACCATCTGCAATTATTTTGTAATTTCACTGTCTTTCACAATTCTCTTTCTTCCAGAAGCCATCTTTGCAGCACAATTACAAATAGGGAAGAAAAAAATTTCAATGTAATTTTTAGACTAAATAGTGTCATCTATTGAGAATCCTTAGTAAATAAAGTCCACCTCATGGTGTGTAAAATACATTATGAGTATGGTCAGGCTCAAAAATTTAGTTATAAAAATTACTAAAGTATGACATGCTCCATAACATAGGTTTATGGGACCTGGAACATATGAAAGTTCTCCCACAACGTAAATCTACGTTGTTGCCCNCCAGCTTTCCAATGTTAAGCTCCGATCCTTAATGAGGGTGAAGCAGAAATCCTGAAAATAAAAAATAAAGATGGCAAGCCCATGCCATCATTTTGATCAATGGCATTGCAGTCATAGAGCACAATATCACAATATAGCTTACGAGAATCATGACAAGTATGCCTTTACAAAGCCCCAGTGAACTAAACCTGTTTATTTCATTATAACTGCCAATGCAATTTAATTATGAATCAGTAGCCACAAGCAATAAAGCACTATTATTGCTCCTCTCTTAACCTAATATTAAGATTGTTAAAATTCACATATTTTTGAAATGATAAGGTCCATGAAACCAACTGGAGCCATCAGGTAAACTTCTCAAATTTTAGTTTGACACTAGTTTAGATAACACTAACACCCCTTTATTACTCTTTGCATGTGGAAAATGTCAACCTATACTATGTGAACAAAATTACACCCAGATTACCTGTACCCTTCAGTATAGCTATGTCTGCAGGAAGACTTCATGTGGATCTGTATAAATACCTCACCAGGCATCATTATCTTTCCTCTCAAGTATAATAAGCATCCCTATCCCTTTCTTTTCCCGCCTGCGACATTAATTATAATTTCACTTTTACCGTATATCTTACAAAGTTGAAAATGACCTTTGAGACGCTCTCATTTAAATTACTGCAACATTTTTGACGCAACATTAGAGAAAACGCTAGTCTTCTGCAAATATCAAAGCATGGGATTTACTAGTCTCACGCGAGATAGAGACTAGAGTGAATTAAAGAAAAGAATGGGCCTAGAGAGAAAACTCACAGATGTTTCCTTAGACGGAAACTCAGCTGACATTTTTTTTCGCACGCCAGTAAAGGCTCAAACGGGTTGAAGGAGATCTCAAAATGAAACGGGCTCAGTCATCTACAGCGCCATAGCACGTCCTCTCGGAAGGCGCTGCGCCATCGTCCACGATGAATATGGCAGCTCACAGGTGTCACGTGGAGTTGTTATTCATGGCCTTGGCTAAGCATAGGGCTATAAATTATTTCATGCTTAGCCACCGTAGATACAGTTCATGTGGCAATCCGAAAGCAGAGTTGAAGTGAGGTCTGCACCCGTTCCTCTCCCCTGAGAAGCAAGCTAACGTTTACATAAGCATTTTGCACTATCCAAACCATAATTAACTTATTTCGCGCGGGCTCAAGCCGCGACCCTAAAGCAATTCTGGGGAAATTTGACTAATAGAAAACCAACTTAAACGTATTCATTCGGTATCTTGAAGGAAGAGTAAGAAAGCCAGCTTAATTTTGGGATTGATGGGCCAATTAGCTCGGAAAACAGCCATGACACTTTTCTGTCCTAACTGACCCATGAGTTTCCAAATTTTAGGTTGGTTTCTTCATTCTCTGAACATTGACAGAATGAGTGTAAAATAATCCGCCACTGCTATTCCTTCCTTGATATGTTCCAGCTCTTCCCTGTCCAAATTTAGTTTCTGATATGCTTAAGGATTGCCTTCAATCTTATTTGCACATTTTGGATATGTTAGGTTGTATGGCCTTTAGACTTATTATCTTAGGTGCAGCAACAGAGGGTGGCTGACCCCCATCTTTCACAGTTAAGAGAAAAAGGTTAGTTTTGCCTGAGAGTTGATTGTTTCCCTGTTTTCATTAGAATGGACAGTTCCTGAAGAAAAAAAAGTTATTTGGCTCACTTAATGTTGGTAATCACCATCCCCTCCCCTCCACTTGTCAACCAGACCATACTGACAACTGAACAAAGGGAAATTAAAATGTTTTCTAAGTTAGCTTCAGCATCAGAGTCACCATCTGCAATTATTTTGTAATTTCACTGTCTTTCACAATTCTCTTTCTTCCAGAAGCCATCTTTGCAGCACAATTACAAACAGGGAAGAAAAAAATTTCAATGTAATTTTTAGACTAAATAGTGCCATCTATTGAGAATCCTTAGTAAATAAAGTCAACCTCATGGTGTGTAAAATACATTATGAGTATGGTCAGGCTCAAAAATTTAGTTATAATAATTACTAAAGTATGACATGCTCCATAACATAAGTTTATGGGACCTGGAACACATGAAAGTTCTCCCACAACGTAAATCTACGTTGTTGCCCCTCAATGTGTTAAAGGGTTAATGTTGAGGTGTGAAAGCTTTACATTCTTTACCTCCCCTTCCTCCTTCAAATCATGTCAGGTCATCTCTACTAGACCTACATTTATCATAGGTTATGCAGAAGGGCACTAGGATATCAACTTAGAAAAAAATAGACATAAACTAAGGAACTAAAACAATTTGAAGTCACAATATGAAAGTACCATTTTTTTTTATCCATTTAAGATGTTTTTACTGGGAAAACTAAAGGAATAGGTATTTTTGGTGACTTGCAGCAAAGCCCACTGAGGAGTGGGCCAACTTGATACCTAGGATGGGGGATGTTGATAGAGTCACTCAGCCAGGTGGCCTACATAGAGAGATTGTCCATACAAGAAGCCCAGCCTCTTACAGTGATGATGATGCTGATGGGTAAGGACTTGCATGGTCATGAATGATTTAAGAAACTCTAAAATCTCACATTTATGGATAATAATGATTTAGGCCTAATCTCTTATCTCTTCATCACTGCTTTACCATTTTTTGTATGTTCCTATCCCTTCATGTATTTTGCTCATTGCATCATCTTTATTCTAGCTTCATACATTAGGTGCAGCTGTTATCCATAATGTAGGAATTGGCCTTTACGAGTTTACATCTTTCCAATCTTTCTTCTGTCTCCTTGTTGCCTCCTGTTTGTTATTATCTCATCTACCTGGCCAGGCTTGATAACCTATGTATCTGAATTTGGCTGTGAATTTGGAGAATTTTACTCCTTTTGTTAATAGTTTATCTCAAGCCTAAGGTATTAACAGTTGGCTGATATTACTGTGAAATTAGTTCTGAGCCTGTTGCTAATTTTGCAAAATTTATTTGTCTAGGAGACAATGCTGGGTATGCCTTGGACGTGAAGAAGATGATGAACCAGGGATGGCATGGTCGAGTCCTTGTCTCTGCCGAGGTTCTACTAAATGGATTCACAAGCATTGTCTCCGACGTTTCATTGATAATCGGCTTGCCTTGGACCCCCAGAGCAAAATATGTTGCCCACAATGCAAGACAACATACTTAGTCTTCACCCCTAAGATGAGTGAGTGCCTTACTGTCACAGTCTGCCAAAATTGCCTTATCCTGTCATGGGGTTTTGCAACTTTTAACACATGTATGTATGTATGTCTTCTCTGATTTGATGGATTATGTGATAGAAATAATGGAAACATAACCCAGTAATGAATGTTTTTGACTCAATTAATTTACTTTTCTTCAACAGGTTGGCTGGCAACATTTTTAGATAGAATTGATCAGCTCATCACTATAAGCTGTCCTCACATGACAATTGTTGTCATTCTGAGTTCAGTTTACTGGACTGCAGTGACATTTGGAGCTTGCACTGTGATGCAGGTGGGAACCTTTGTTACTCTGTGAAATCTGTCAGTGTTTCAACCCATGAAGCAGTATATATCTGATGTTTTAGGTCATGGGAACTGATGAAGCTTTGGCAATGATGGAAAAAGAAGATCCAATGTTTCTCCTTCTTGGGCTTCCAGCCATTCCAGTTTTACTCATTCTTTCTCGTTTCATTCACTGGGATGATATCCTCTTTGCCCTGCTTCAGGAAGTGTCACACCCATCTAGAAGGTGCAATCAATCATTGCATGTTCCCCCTAGTGTTGGCTGGGATCATGTACATCTCAGGTGCATAATGTTGACTCTTTTCTCCATTCCCAGCCTCCAGAATGTCCAGCAACATTCCAGATTAGTTGAGGCTTCCAGCCATCGAAGAGATGCTGCTGGTGATGGGCCTGAAGGCAGTGAGGAAGAAAATGGCCAGAGGGGAGGAGAAGAAGAGCTGTTTGATGTTGAAGTGAATAATGGGACACTAGTGATGAGAGGAAGAGATGCTACCCGCATCTTCTGTGGAGCTGTCCTTCTGCCCACCATCTCTGCCCTTGTGGGAAACTTAGTCTTTGATGACATCAAATCCAATATTCGAAGAACCTTTTATGTAAGTAGCAGTCTGCAGTTTCACCTGAAACATACAGGGTGATTTTTTATTCATGGGACAATTATAAATATTTATAATCTTGAAACAAATAGAGTTAGATGCATGAAATTTCGCATTAAGAATCCATAAACATGGGAAAGTTATCCTCAATAAAAAAATAAAAAAAACAGGTTCAATTTGTCCTCCTCTGTGGGCAATCAACAGTTGTAGGGACATGGTGAAATCCTGCACAACTGCCTGCAGGGTATCCTGAGAAATGGAATAACTTCACATTCTGTGGTCGCTTTCAGGTCTCTAAACCTTGACTCAGAAACTTTGTCCTTCAGGTATCCCCAGAAAAAATAGTCGCATGGATTGAGATCATAGTATGCCAACACAGCAAACGTTGTGTTAGATTTCCTGCACAAGATCTTCGGTACCAAAATGCCATCTAGAAGATTTCCTGATATCCAGATTAGTATGGCTACCATTTCCCCCCAATCTCAATCCATGTGGCTATTTCCTCTGGGGATACCTAAAGGACAAAGTCTTCAAGTCAAGGTTAAATCCATGCACATTTGGAGACATGAAGGGGGCCATGGAACGTGAAGTCCACTCTATTTCCCTGGATAGTCTGCAGGCAGTTGTGCAGGATTTCACCATGCCCCTACAACTGTTGATTGCCCACAGAGGAGGACAAATTAAACATGTTTTTTCATTGAGTATAACTTTCCCATGTTTATGGATTCTTAATATGAAATTTCATGCATCTAACTCTATTTGTTCCAAGATTATAAATACTTGTAATGGTCCCATGAATAAAAAATCACCCTGTACTTTCCATTTTTCATCTTCAGGGAATGTGAAAACTAGAAGCTTTCTTATTCTCTGTGTTGCTTTGTGCCTGGAGCCTGTGCTAGAGTCTGTCGCCTCTCTCTTATAGACCTAATCCTCTCCTTCAATTGGTCTCTAAGAGATGCAACACAGGAAAGTAAAAATGTGTCAAAGTTCTCAACAGTCACCTCACATGATGCTGGGGTTATTCTGGCTACTTCTGCACTAATGTTTTCTTCTAGTTCCTGTAATGTGTCAGGCCTATTTCGGTACACCTTCTCTTTCAAATAGCCACATAGAAGTTATCTGGTGTGGTTAGATCTGGAGATGTTGCAGGCCATGAAATGTCACCTAATGAGAGATGATGTGACCATTGAACTTTGAAAAACGTTTACTTTCCAGTGTTGCATCTCTTGGAGACCATTTGAAAGACACTATCTTCAAAACTTAAGCTATAAAATGTTGAACTTGAATTGAAAGGCTTTGAATAGAATTTGAGCAAAACCACACTATTTTTAGAACATAAATGAAAAAATGATAAAGCATTTACATTGCTTCAATGTTTCTGTCTCCCAATACATTTCTGTGTGATTTGGTGTGTCTGCACATCTTGATTCACTTGGAAAAATTATTTTCATGATGACTTTGGAATTTCCCCGTATATCTTCTATGTACTTTATTATCATTGTTTTACTGAGGTAAATTGCTGTGGATTTCACCATTTATTTTATTGGATGCATTTGCCCTTCTATGCATACATTGCTTGCTGTCTTTTTTTACCTTTTCTCTTGTTTGTTCCATTCATTTCTTTTTTCCAAGCAGTAATGCTTAATCCTCTGGCTTGTTCTTGAATTTGGGTAGTCCTAGTATTGGTATCAATCAGTTGAATCCATTTTTATTTTCAGGGAGGTCTCTTGTACATTGCTGTGAAGGGTGCTTTGAAAATATATTACAAGCATCAGCTGTGCATGCGCAACCAGCAGCGTCAGATTCTGGATTACCGGGAACAAGACCATTCTTCAGCAAGTTGAGGAATTCATCCAATCCATGGACTGATTGAACTGTTGGAAGAAATTAATTTTTTTTGTAAATGTAGCAGAAGTCAGTTAAAGGATATGAAACTGAGCACATATTCCTGAAAAAAGTTAACTTTATGACCTCTCACTGAACATGTCATTCTTTCTTGATATTTTCTTCCAGAGGTGCTGAAACTGTGATCTGCTGGCCAGGTACAGATCATGAGAGGATTCCATCTTGCCAACCATGAGATGTTAATTCCAACGGCTTTGGTTTTAATGAAGTTGAAGCCGTCTGAATTATTTCGTTTTATCAGGTTTTCTTGATATCATATACTGCCATTCAGAGGACTGAATCCGTTTTATACTTGCATATACATGATTTCATCATCTTGTGGATATATTATGGGGATCCAATGGCTTCTGAGGGTTTTCATGGACGAGAATATCTTAACCTGTTTGCTCTCACGTATCCCGCAGGTGGGTCATGACTTCGCGGCTAGCAATGCATTGGCAACTAACGTGTTAAATGTACTAAAGCCTCCACTGTGTACTGGGCATACATGTCCCAAATCTTGTAAAATGAAACTTGCAAGGGATGAACAGGGCAAAGGAGTCTGATCCCAACCATAAAGAACTAAGCGCGAGCACCGAAGTGCTCCGTTCACTCACATCACCCGTGTTCACATCCCTTGCCATATGGATTTTTCTTTTTTTTTACCTCTTGATGGGAGAAAAGTTTATTGCATCTAGTGACCTTTCTGTCCGGAGGCACAGAAATTCTTTCGTTTTATCTCTGGAATTTCATTATCTCCGAATTTATTTAGCATGGGTATCTACAGACATTCGACCGGACAATGCCAAGGATTTCGGTATAATTGGTTTTTCGTTACATCCTTGTTCGTTATACCAAGAGTCGACTGTAAACGTGTGTGATTGGAGTCCCAGCTTCATGGTTCTCTTTAACTTTTTTTTTCCTTCAAATTAACAAGGCCAGTTAAGATGTGATTGCTTGCCTCTGATATCTAAAGATTGAATAAATTCATCATTATTTTAAATTGGAACAAGTGGTTTCCAGGGAGAAATGCACTGTTCATGGATCCCCACGAGTTCGAGAAGTTTGCACGACCCTGCTTCATTTCATGGAGACAGTGCTCAGGTTGATGATAAAATGCTCATGGCAATTGAGGCCAAGTTCAAATTTTTGAATTCCCCGATGCCTTTCCCCAAGAGTTATGCAAAGGGCATCAGGCTCTTGCTTCATCAGTCGATTTTTATCAAGCTCGTCTTGGATGAACTGGCTGCAGTGGTACAGGCAGACTTGAACTCGCTTGCTGACATTGTTATGCAGCATCAATACCCTCCTTTGACTTCATCATCTCTCGTGCATTTTTACACGCCTAATGGCAAATTTGGATCGTGTGCAACTGTTCAATCTTTCATCTTTGCCAGCAACTCTTTCCTGGATTTAACTCCTCGAACTCTGATGAAATCACGAGCATCATCGATGAGAGAAAAGACCGAATACAATAATATAATTAGAGACCACTGCACAGCAGGGAACAAGGACTGCAAGAAAGACTCAAGGCTTCACGTTCGCCGCGATCCACGGAACGAAGCTGGCAACCCTGGTATACAGGCCTGGCTTGAACGCCCTTCCGCAACCGACCCCTGCCGACACGACCCCGACTTGGTACTGAGCATCGCTGCTGGACATCATCAGCGGCCCTCCGCTGTCACCCTAAATAAAACGAAATGAGACCAGCCCCCTTCGAACTGTACGAGAGACTCGCCGCGTTTCCCTCACCTGACAAGCGTCGCGTCCGCCCGTGATGGGTCCCCGGGCGCACAAGTGCTCGTCACGGACGCGAAGGAAGAGCAGGAGAGTGAAGGCGCACGACGCCTTGCTCACGACGTTGAGGTTCACGCTCTGCAGCACCGACGAACTCCGTCCCCCTGTGGAAAAAAAAATTAAAGGCGTTTGTCAGAGAGAGATGAATCAATAAAACCAAAAGGTAGAAACGGAAACAGTAATTTTCCTCTACCTTCTTTGGACGACCCCCATCCAACCGCAGTGACGCTGGTATCGTCAGCAGTCCTGGAGCCTGCATCCGGCAAACACACCGGCTGGGTGTAATCGTCCCATTCCAGGTCTTGGCTCAGCCGTATCAGCGCGATGTCGTTGATCAAATTGAAACCTTGGCCTGGGGCGGAAACGCAGTCGCTTTCGGTGAGCGGGTTCAACGAACGAAGCCCATTCCGCTAGAAATCGCTGCATCGGAACTCACTGACGAAGTTGTCGTGAACGATGAACTCTTCGGGCGTGACATAGACGACCTTCGGATTCTCGGTCTCTTCGTGAATGTTATACTCCCGAGCCGCAATCTTGAGCCTATCCCGATAACTCCTAGAATCGACCAAGAAAAAAAAAATCGAAACCGAGACGACCGAGCCCCAACCCACCAAAAAAAAAAAAAAACGAGAATCGCTCACCCCGCAACGCAATGAGCAGCCGTGAGGATATACCGCTTGTTGATGATGCTCCCCCCGCAAAAGTGTTGCCCGAACAGCTGAAGCGATACGATCGACGGGAATTCCCCCTTGACGGTGGGCGATCCCCCGACGATTTTCTCCCCGTCACGAGTGACCAGGAACCTCTTGACGATCGGCCGCTGCCCGCACTCCACGTCTGCCACTGCAAAGCGAGAAGTTTCACGTGGCAATTTCTCTTCAATCGATTGCGATCGATCGTCAATGTCGATCGTCAATGATCGTCATGGAAAATTTACAGCGACGACAGGCAGGCGGACTTCGAAGACCAGTTTTCGTAACTAGGACTAGTTTAATTTTTTTTTAAATCGTTGACCATCAACGTGGATTCACCGAGTCCAAGATTTCTTTTTAGTCATGATCGAAAAGCATAATTAGACCCACATGAGTCGTACAACTCGTTAACCCCGCAGGACCCAAATAACTGGTGGAGTCTTCATGCTTAGACTGAAATTGTTTGATTGGAGCGACGTTCACAACTCCCGCAGTGAGCGAATATTTTATTCCTCCTGACGTTTTCCTCTGGATTTCTGAACCCATTCTGTCATTTTAAAATATAAATTATGGCTAGGTGATATTGCTTTATTTGCTAATTACCGAAAATTTAAATCAGATGATCACTGAGAAACATGGAAGACAAAAGACCAGCTAACACAAGAGAGAGAGAGAGAGGTTTTGGGATTTCCGACTAATTCCTGGACGAATTCACTCAGGACCGCCCCCAGGATAATTGAAACGGGAAACCGCGTGAAATGAACCTCCCCGTGTCACAACAGATGGGACGAGGTTTCCTCCCAAGCCGGAATCAGAGAAACCTCCCGCGATACTAAGGAGCGAACGCGAGCGCGCGAAAACGGGGGAGAGCGAAGGGCGGAGGCGCCTCGGGGGGGGGGGGGGGGTTGCTTGGAGGTCTCTGGCGTCGGTTGCCACTGCGGTCGTGGCGATTGAACTGCGTCATGTTTTTCTCCCTGGGGAGCTTTGACGCGATGATCGAGTTATGGCGACCGAAAAATGTTGTTCGGCTCGGAAAATTGCACTGTATCCGAGATCTCGCCGGCTCTATTTTCGTCATCGCGGGTCGGCGGTGGACCTCTAATCGAATTCCTTCCTCGGAAGGAAGCTTTCTGTATCCAGTCGAGCCGATCGTCGGGACCGGATTCCGTCTTCTTTCCTTCATCTCCGATGGATTCGGTTGAGACTCGTTCCCTTGCACGGAGTTGTGCCCTCAAGTCTTTTTTTTTTTTTTTCTCCATCCTGCGCCGCTGCACCGCTTCTGCAGCTATGATTTCCCTTCCGTTCTCAATCTCGGGCAATCTTTCATTTCCATTCCTCTTTCCGCTCCTGCGACAAATTAGCCATTCCCATTCCTTCTACTCCCATGAATTCCATTACCAGAGACTATTCCTCGAAAAAGATCTCTTGCCCGACCGAGAACCGAGCACTCGAAGCCAGATCTCAAGTGACGGCAGAAGAGCAGAAACATCAAAGAAACCGAAAAGGAAACGATTTCATTCGCGACGAACGCCAACGCCCAGTTCCCGACAGAAGTGGAGTTTTTCGCTCCCGACGGCGGAGCCAGGGGAAGAAACACTCAGACGAGGCCGAGATGAGACGCCCAAGAGCAAGGTATCCCTATTCTAGGAAAATTGTTATCATTGACTATGATCCCGCGGCACCGATTGTTTTATAAGTCAATATTGTGAGACAGACGGAAAAAGAAAACAAGAGCAAACTGACTTTCCTTCGCGTTCCCGAATATCCTACGCTTCATTCCCATCCTTATCGCCCCCATCCTTATTGCTCCCATCCCCATCGCCCCCATCCTTATCGCCCCCATCCTTATTGCTCCCATCCCCATCGCTCCCATCCCCATCGCTCCCATCCCCATCGCTCCCATCCCCATCGCTCCCATCCCCATCGCTCCCATCCCCATGCGTGGGTTCCTTGGATGTGTCCCTTGCCACCCTCGAGCCCTTTCGTCTCCCGTGCAGATGAGGCAGGGGAAGTCTCCAGACTGCCAGACTCTTCTATCTTACTCCATCACCCCAGCGAGACCAAATGTCAGCGATGTTTCTCGGACGCGAAAGAAGGCGAGTCTCTTGTTTACTCGAGCATGAAGTAACAGATCCCCCCGCGTGCCTTTACTTTTCCTCGCGGACGCATAAACTCTTCCAGCCCTGCCTCGTCGATTTTCTTTCTCGAGAACGAACGAGAGAACCTCGAGAACGGCCATCGATAACTTCAAATATTCCATCGACGTGAGGGCTTCCACGACGGGCACGACGACGCTCCTTCCTCGCGAGGCCACGCAAGAATAAATGCAATCTGATGCCATCGGCAAGAAACGACGTAAGCGGCACATTAGTACGAATTCGAGCAAGGCCAGTGAGCAAGTGAGCAAAGCCCATTGCTCACTCTCCGGTGAGAAACGACGGAACACCCGAAACGAGAACATCGAACGCGCGGGTGAAACCTCAGCCTCCTTTCCGGCCCTATGCATTCCCCGAGGTAGGTCAAGTAGTACTCTCTTGGGGATAAGAACAAAAAAAAAAACCTGTAGCACTCAAACGAGGATATCTCCGGTGACATCTCTTTCTCTTTGGGCTTGCGATGGAGGGCATTCGGCTGAAACCAGGGGAGGAAACCCTGCGAACGGGCTCGTCCTCGGTTTTCACGGAAAGGGATTTGGAAAGGTCTCACCCTAGCACGAAGGCCCGAGGAGAAACTTCGGGCTTTCCGCATTTTTCTCTTACTTCCACCGCGTCATCTGCAAGCCCGCCCTTCGACCTCGCGAAACGTCGAGGTGGCCGGTGGCCTTCATCCGGGAGAGGAGGATGACCTCACGGTTGAGGGCCAAGGACCCGGAGAAGAGAAGAACGTGAAGGATGCAGAGGATGCAGGGGAGGCAGAGGAAGCACATGATCCGAAACCGTCGGCTTTCCTGTCACTCCGTCCGCGCCGGCAACCGAACCTGCTTCCCTCTCTCGCGGCTTCCTCCGGGCGAGGCATGTTCAACCCGTCGAGATATTACGAAACCTGTTCTTTCCATATCTATGCATTCACAAGGTCATTAACGTGAAGCGGGGCCCCTCGACATCGACGTTCTCGTCACGTCCGTCCGAAAAGCGCCTCCTCGAATTCGTAACGACGTCGATCGTCCGACGTCGTTACGAATCGCGGCGCCTTCATTATCGCCGAGAAGACGATCCAGACACGTAACGACGCGGTGTGTAAACATTCGTTCGAGCACGATCGATCGCCGGTGAAGGCCTCGCTTCGCCATCGTGCAATGTATGATTCCGAAAGCATCGACCTGTCTCCCACGTCACTTCATTACCGATTCCCAGGAAAAGGGGATGGGATCGATGCCCCCAAAACCGACCAGACTTTACCTGTAATCATTCGGAACAGTCCCACCGAAAGAGTTCGCGAAGCGACGCGGTTCGAGATGGCGGAGTGGGCGACTCACGGGGCCCTCATGATCGCGGCGTGGCTGGGATTCGCCGCGACCGGCGTCCTCCTCCCCACCTACTTCCGCGGCGACTTCCCGGGCAAGAAAATCCTGAACAAGGACCTCTGGTTCGCGGTGAGTCCGACCAGCGTCATTTCGCTCCCAGATCTCGCAATCCCTCATCGGACGATGCGCCTCACGTTCCTGCCGATTCGCGGCCGATTCCGATCGCGAATTGGGGCAGAACGAAACGACCTTCGACTCGTCTCTCGTGCGGAAGACTTTTCTCTCATACTTTCTTACGACACGCGTCGTTCCCCAGGGCCACTGGCTGTTGATGAACCTCGCTCTCCTCTTCACCGTGATCAGCTTCATCGTCATATACAATTACGAAGGATGGAAGCAGGAAAAGAACAATCACTCCGCGCTGGGTCTCTTCGTCTGCATCCTCGCGTTCGTTCAGCCTCTGGCGGCGGCCTTCAGACCGGGACCGACGAGCGAGTGGAGGCCGGCCTTCAACTGGATTCACTGGGCAGTGGGGAATCTCATCCTCTTCCTGGCGTGTAAGTTAAGATGGCTCTCCGAGATCGTTTTAAATCTGCACTCAGCGAAGGAAATGTAAATGAGCACCTTAGAGCACGTGCTTCGGAATCACGACCCGTATGATGACCCTTGTGACTGGGGGATTGCAGTTGGGTATCGAGAATTGATGTACTGGGGTTCAAGACATGATAATTGGGAAGTGATATACGCCGATACAGGGTGTAACAAAAGTCTATATATATATATATATATATATAGTCTATAGGATAGGGATCATTTCTTGCTCAGAATGTTTGGAACTCACCTGCCAACCAGAATTGATAATGCAATGCAAAAATTCATCTTAATCACAAAATCTGGCTCAATTCACCTCGAGAAACCCAAATTGTGCAAAACGTGAATCGCGAAATTGATTCAAGTGGTCCAAAAGTTGACCCAGACAGTCCCAAAGTGACCATGCGACCCCATTGGTCCCATTTACAACTTGAGAATAATCACCTGACCGTGACCCAAAATTTCCCAAAATTGCCCCCCAATCGATCCTGCGACCCAGATGGACCCATTCCCACTTTTCCAGAACAATTTCCTTACATTACTGTAGAAAATGATCCATCGATCCGGCTCGAGTCGAATTATCTGAAAGTGGCCCAAGTTGATCAAAATGGACCAAAGGTGACCCAAAGTGATCAACCTACTTTCCCTGAATCGGCTCAGTGGGTCAGCTTGGGTCGCTCTGAGTCTCTCTGGGTCAGTGGTTCTCAACCTATATTATACCATGACCCACCAAACCCGATCTCCATATTCATGGGACCCACAATTTCAGGGACTGCCGCAAGTAATCCAGTCGTGTGACTGAAAAACAAAGGAGTGAGCGAACACACATGAATTACGCATGCAAGAGAATACAGAAACGCATGCATTATTTGAAAGAGTTTCGATTTCCGCCAGGAAAAGAATGCAGCAATCACCGCTTCGCCTCACCGCCACAGAACCAGTGTACATGCCTGCGAAGTCATCAGAAAGTGCAAAAATAATTATACATATATTTTAGTCTGTCGTCCCAATGCACGATCGACGCTCGAAATAAACCCCGGAGCGTGCATGCACCTGACGTTCCCCATGGCCGGTCCGCGCACTCACCCGCACCGAATTCGAGAAGCGACTCGAGTGACGCGACGGCCGCTGCTGACAACTCCCGAAGGTTTTCCTTCCCTTCGAGACTGCTTCCTCGTGGATTCAGTCCTGGTTCCTCCTCGGCCGAAGGTATTGGAGCTCGACTGGAGGCTCCGGACTCGTCGATACCGCAGGAATATGCGAGTTAAGTATTCCAAGGATTCAGATTCGTTTGCGCCATTCTTCCATTCGATAGGTTAAAAATAGTGTTGTGATTATGGCGTAGATATTGGCAGAGAGAAAAGCCGACGTTGCAATTTTTGAGTCGTTCCTATTTTTTGCCGTTTCCTCGGATGGTCTGCTTGCGAACTGTCCCTCTTGAGACCTTTTCAGGGGATTTAAGCTCATGCACCCTTGGACAGGACTTCAGCTTGGCACTCTTCTGATTCATCTAAATTGATCTTTCTCCATCTTTCATTCATTTGCTCTTTGTTTCTTTGATCCCCTCGCCATCACCTGGAAGAATGTGGCGACCCACCGATTGAGGTAAATTTTAGTCAACTCGGGTCATTAGAATAATTAGACTGAATTTGGGCCATTCTGCCAATTCGCGTCACTCTGGGTCACTCGAGCCAGATTTAATTTATATTTATAATTTTTGGCATCACATCAACCCAGGTTGGCGGGTGAGTTCAAAACAACCTCGGCAGGAAATGATCCCTTTATTCCGTGATTCCTAACTTTTGCTGCACCCTGTATGCTACAGAAGGAGACATGCAATTATTCTCATTCCAGATGTTTGTCTTTTGGGCTATCAAATACAGGGTGCTCCAAACAGGGCCGGATTAAGGGGGAGGGGGCAAAGGGGGCTGTTGCCCCGGGCCCCATTCTTCCAGGGGGGCCCGGGGCCCCCCCGAAGGAAATTAACGTTAAATATTTGTGTAAAATAGGGGGTGGGGGGAGAACCTCAAGAATTCACTTGCTCCGGGCCTCGCAACTTCTTAATCCGGCCCTGGCTAGTCAAAAATACGGAATGGGTGCAAATTCTGCACATGCGAAATAATGTCGCGTCTTGACGAATGCAAGCGTTCCAAAACGCTATGCACTACGTATTCATCGAACCAATCTTACAAATTCAACAATCATTGAATTAAAAAAATATATATAAGAATGAAAGTACAAGAATTGAAATCACCCAGCAACGACACGCTGATCAACTAAAACAATAGAGGGGAAACGCGTTAACTCTTATCCAGTCATGTCGAAATTTCGTCTGTATGTTCAACGCCAAGTTCCGGCGGACATAAGTCAGTCAGACAGCGGTGATAAAAAAAAAATTCAGTTTGCCCGGAATTCGTTTGTCCCACTTCTCACGATATCTCGAACCACGTTTCCGTTCCCGATCGAGATTTTCAGCGACTCAGCAAGACCAACAAGCGGTCTGCGAAGAAATCCCGAGGCGGTGGATCGATTTCCTGGATGGGGACAGGAAGGCCATTTGTAGGAGAAACTTATATTTTTTTTTCTTTTTTTTTTCCCCTCTTCTCTTTCCTCTCCGTTTCCATCAAAGATCAAAGACGCTTGTGGAGAGGATTTAAACCGGAAATTAAAACCAGTGGAAGCTTTTGAGACGAGCACGAAGGAACCATCGACGCATTCCCCGCCACCAATTTCCCACCGAAAACTGTTTCTTTTGTGCGGCGATGATTTCCGAAAAACTCTGGAAGGGAAAAACCGCATCTGTCTCTTTCAGATCGCTCTCCGGTTATTTCCCTCGATCTCAGAATTTCTTTTCAGGTTATTTCCCCCCCAATCGATCCTGCGACCCAGATGGACCCATTCCCACTTTTCCAGAACAATTTCCTTACATTACTGTAGAAAATGATCCATCGATCCGGCTCGAGTCGAATTATCTGAAAGTGGCCCAATGTGTTCACATCGCTAGTGAGGCTGATTCAGAAGCAGAACACAATGAGCAATTTCCAGGGGTAGCAAGTCTTCTGCAACTTTGACTCAGCGTAACCGAGAAGGAAAAGTTTCCCGGCTCATTTTTTTAAATTATTCCTGCAATTCTCGTTTAAAGAATTTTGCGTTATTGCATTCACTTTCATTTTTGTCGAAGCTAGCAGGTCTGTGTTACATTTTTCACGAGACTGAAACCTATGAGGTATCTCATTTATCCCTTTTCTCAGTTTGCCTTCATTTCCGGGTTCCACGTCACGTCTATCAAAGACCGGAAAGGGTTAACCCGCTTTCTTTTGCTTACATTAAGGCTTACACGGCGTTTTGAAAGCGGATAGGAGAAGGCGGCGTTTTTGCCGAGGGTCACCGAATGTAATATTCACGTGGCGCTCATCTGGCGCAGCGAGGAGTCGAACGGAAATCGATTCTAGTGACCCTGCCGTGCTTAATCGGAACTGCCCCCCCCCCCCCCCACTGCTCGCAGAAACGAACGGAAAGTGCATAATGCAATGATCGACACGACGAAGGCGGTGCCCGGATTCTTCCAGGCCTATATCTCGTCTCGACGAGGCCGGCACTGGATGAAAGATCTAGATTTGGTTCTGATTTAGTGGCAAGTACCGCGCGGTTTCAGTCCAGGTTCAGGCTGCTCACTTTCCGTCTCTCGATTCTGACAGGATTATCAGTAAAGATCCGGTTTAGAGGTTCGCCGTTCTCGCCGGTGAAAGTTGCAAGAGGCAATCCTTCCCCCTAGATCAGGGGTGGCCAACCTTTTTTGCCCAACTGGGCCGCATCGCCCCTTAAAGGACCTCCCGCGGGCCACAATAACCATTTTAATAGATATTGCCATCACCTATGAGCTAGATTTCGGGGAGCGCCGCAGGCCTGACGAAGTGTCACCGCGGGTCGTAGGTTGGGCACCCCTGCCCTAGATGGCATCGTGATCAGCAGTTGAAGTAGAGAACTGCACGGGCTGGTTTTGACGAAATGAATCCTGGTCCGCACCAGACGCGAGGCCCACTGCCAATCGAGCTGCACTGCACAACGAGACTGCAAGAAGGATCTTCGAATTCTACATACCTAAAAAGACCCTTATAAGTTGGGTAAGGTCGGACCGATCGGGCTTTCTCGCTGCCCGTGCGGGACTCTAGGTCATAATCAAATTGCACGAATTAGGGCGTGGAAATTTGGACTTCTTTTCGGTGCTGTTTCAGCGGATGAGTTCTTTCTCATTCCAATATGTTTCGTTTATTCCCTTGCATTTCATGCTCAGTCTTAAACGATTTGGAACAGGAGTCTACTCGTACGAGCAACCCAGCAAACAATTTGAAACATAACGTCGAATCTACGTTGAATTAACATTGAATAAACGTTCAGAACGTCCATACAACGCTGGTCTGACGTAGCCTTGTTTGCAGGGAAGTCTTTGACCTTTGACGTTTGACTTACAAATTCCTGTTAAATTATCTTATAGCATAGTTACTCATTGCAAGCTTATGGCATACTTTTTTTTTTAAATACTTCCTGCAATTTTTTTTAAAAGCATGACTTCTATCCGTCAACTTTTCTGCTAAATCCTTCATCGTCCACAAGAACGGATGAAGAGAAAAATCTCTCAGCAAGAATGTTGAAATCTCCTAGTTCCAGGGCCGGATTAAGGAGGGGGGGGGGGGGGGGGGGGGGGGGGGGG